ATCAAACGCTGGGTTGATGTGGACATGGACTCACCCGTGGGGACCAGACAGCGCTCCTCTACAATGACGTCTCGGCCACGAGGAATATCCATGGGAACCACCGCTTCCGGGTATTCGCCGTCGGGGAATGGTCGGCGGAAACCCATCCCAACGAATGCCTTGCTACGATTATCATCGTCGTCGTCATTTAATTCAAATGTGAGGGATCCAGATTCAGTTACCGTCTATTCCGTGGCTGGGACCAGACATCCCTCCATTCATGAAAGCGATGGGTTGGATATTACACTTCCGGTCAACGAAGGTCCAGACTATATCATACAAGGACAGCACGGGCTCACGAAACATTTCATGTTGAACGACCGACGAAGAGTTTTGACTGTGGATACAGCAGGAGAAGTTGTCATGTGGGATCTCTTAAAGTGTTGTGTCGTGAAAACTTTTGGTCAACGACACTTGGAAGAAGTTGCTACCGAGGTTAACACCATAGACAGCATTGCCAACTGGTGCCAGGTGGATACGAGGACTGGACGACTAGCATGTGTGCTTGAGGAGAATTATTGTTTTGACGCCGAAACGTATGCCGATGAAGCTGATCTAGATAAGAGTTTAGAGTTCCGGGATGATCAGAGGAGTGAGTCGCTTTTTCTGGATATGGGGCGTAGCTGACATGTTACAGTAAACCTCGGCAAATGGGTTCTTCGCTATCTTTTCGACGAGTTGATTAGTGCAGAGATTGAGGAGGATGAAAAGTATCGTCACCAACTCGAGTCTCAGAAGCAGAGTCGTGATGGTGGCGCACTACGAAATAATGCACCAGCACAGATCAGTATTCCTTCGGCTTCGTTGACATTATCGGACAGCGCTTCTATGGCAACACCACTAGCAAAACCTAGTGGAACATACTCTCTCTTCCCTACAACACCAGGAATGGCAATAGGACTTGCCACCCCTGCTCCTTTCAGCCCCACTTCTCCCAGCCCTGGCGTAACGGCCGATGATGACCAACGGCTATCGATTGATCCGTCCGAACGCGATTACTTTTCCCCTAGTCGATCACCTGTTTCCCCTACCCTGGTAGACCAGATCCCATCATCAACACCAGCATCAGTGCCAACCGTGGCCGAACAACCGCCAACTCTGTCACTTCCTTCAGAAGAAGAGGAAGCGAAAAGTTCATCTCGCTTTGGAAAATGGCGTCCGTTTGGGAGTAAGAAGCTTGGACGGTCGATATCCACGGATCTCAGCAAGATCAACACCAATTCAACCACCTCCGGCGCTTCGTCTGAAGAAAGTAAATCTACCACTGATTCAACCACCGCACTGACAAATGATGCTGCCACGGCGCCACCACCGAGTGAACCGGACGACACCCTTCTCGGCGTTATTACACACTTCCGCAAAAAGTACGACGCGCTGGCGCGTCAACCCCGGAATCCTGATGATCTATTCAAACTCGAATCTGCAATTACTCCGAGCTTACCCACAGAAACACCAGTCTTGAAACCCCCGAGAGGAACCGAGATTATCATTCAAGAAGACAAGCCCGACTCCGGCGGTGTTGTCGACCTTTACTGCGGTACCGTCAGCTGCGTTGGAAAAGACCGCGAACTGGTCGAAAAGGTTGCGCCCGCCTGGTTGGGTGACGTATTGCTCCTCAACTCTGTGCCCTTCAAAGACACCATCAAGGTCAGCTTTGTGCTCGTGCCGTGGAAAGACGAGCTTCCCACGTTGCCGAGCGAGAACGGAAGGTAGGCCCCCAGTGACTCCGTTTAAATCATCCACTGACCCGCACTCAGCGAAGGAAAGCCCTCCAGATTAAACGCCAACCGCATGCTCCGCGCGAAAAAGATTCTCGCCTACATCGCTGAACGCCTCCAGCCGCCATACATGAAAGAATCCTTTGCCCCTGGGAAACCGCAAGACTCACAGCCGTCGTCCTCGTCGTCCTCCTCGGTATCGACGAAATCAACGCGCTCTACTACAAAGTTTGTGAAACCGGAAGATTGGCTAGAGCTGCTGTGTCATGATCAGGTATGTCGATGTGTTGTCTTGTACTGGGAGGGCAGAAGCTGACGGTTCTAGTTGGTCCCATTGACCATGACTCTTGCGACCATTCGATCTTACATGTGGAAAAATAATGGTGATGTTACATTGAGTTTCCGGAGGAAGATAGTGAAGGGGGAGGTAAAGAGTAGGCCGGTTAGTGCGGGGAGGGAGACGGTCGTTGTACAGGAGGAATAATGAAGTCGTTTTGGAGGTTTTTGTGATGGAGATACCACTTTATGGGTTGTTAGATATGTATAGTTCGGGGTGCTGTGGATATATGTTACATTGTAGAGAACCCTAACTATGCTGTCGAAGGGAAATCAATCAATTAATCAAGCAATCGAGCTGAATTGAACGAACACCAGACCATAATACTGTGACGCTGGAACCCCCGGATGACCATCGATACCCCACTCCGGGATGTCTACTGTACCCTGTACTCCAATCGCAGCGGCTCTGATACACACGACGACTCAATGAATATTCGTCTAGATGGCATGCTGCATCCACCAAAATCAGGCAGAACTGGGTATCGAAACAGAACCCCGCTTGCACGCATTTGAACCCCCGGTGGATTGTCATGTGCAAAACATATATTTCCAATCGGACACATCATGCCGTACTAGAGACTTTGTTTTGTGTGGATGCTGGAAAGACCCGAATTGCTCATCGTTAAGGCACACCGATAGATGTTTAGACGCAGATCTGAGTCAAGGTCCAGATTGACGACGGTGCAAGGAGATGGATGATTTGAGATTTCTCTCGATATGAACAGGTGCAGCATGACGCAGGGAGGTAAAACTTGGTCATCGTGGCGGTTGGAGTGAAGAGTATGTGGATGGATGTGTTAGAGTATTGTATGCGATTGGAATGGGATTTGATTGGTTGTGGGTATAATGAACTGGGGGGAAAGACATGGCTTTCGAATATCCGCCAGGTTTTTGTGGAAAATGGAAAGCGTGGTTGACTAGATATGGCGGAAGGTATCTATGGACTTCATGTATGAAAGATATGGGGAAGATGGGAGGTAGCCAGGTGTGGTGAGCGTGTAACGGGTGACCGAAGAGGCCGTTTTCCGTTAGTGTGATGAGCAACCGTGAGATACAGGATATAAGAAAAATGGATTTGTAATGTTATTGGGGGGGGGGGGGGG